GACGTTATTGAAACGATCCCCGTTCACACAGAGCCGCAAAATCTACTGGAAACGCTGTAGTATGCACCCCAGGCCAGTGGGTGGCAGTGTATATTTGCAAAGCAACACCACGGCATGACGTCATGCGCCTGCGCTGAAGCGCCTTCCTCTACAACGCTGTGATTACAAACCAAAACAAAGAAGACACAATGGCGAAAGCATGTACAGATAACTTTGTCTGGATGGACGACGAGGTGGAGTTGCTACAGTAACATATCTACACTTCACTTCAAATCAACAGGGTGAGCAGCACAAACAGAGCTCAGCATTGTTGTTGTGACGGTCGGCATGCCTAGTGACTGGAACTGTAATGCGCATGTGCGAAAAGTCTCCGTTTTCAGAGCAACTACATATTGCAAGTTTACATGACAACAGAGACGCTACCGTTTCCAAAAAGTTGCACTCTGGAACCCGTTCTCAAAACGTTGCGTTTTCAGGCACCCAAAACGCTGCTGTTGTGTAAACGATCTGTCAAAACGCAACTAAAGTTTACCGTTTTCAGTTGAAATCGTCGTAAAAACGGGGCCTATGTCTGAAGGTTACTTTCAGTTCCAAAGGAACCATACCGAAAATGTTTGGTGGAAACGGGGCTTTAGTGGTCCCTGGAGTTTCCCTTGCCATTCATTCTGCCTCTCTGTGCTCTGGTGTGACCCAGCATAACAGCTTTGACAATTAGATTGTTCTGGTGAAACAGCGGTAGACACAGCTTAGGCCATCCCAGCATGATGCCAATACAAATCAAACCACAGGATGAGAGAACCCCTACAGAGAGCCCCAGGCATACACAGTCCCCACACACACACACACACACACACAGAAACGTAACTGCAGATTTGTTTTACCCCCGACAGTTAATCTCTATTTCCACAAATATTTAGAAAGAGACGCAGACCAAAGAAAGAAAGAGCTAATGAAAAGCATTAAAAGGTTGCCACCACATTTGTTGTTCCTTGGGACTTAAGAGCTTCAAATACACTGCCTGGCCAAAAAAAAAGTCACCACCAAAAAAAAAGGTCATACACTCTAATATTTCGTTGGACCGCCTTTAGCTTTGATTACGGCACGCATTCGCTGTGGCATTATTTCGATAAGCTTCTGTAATGTCACAAGATTTATTTCCATCCAGTGTTGCATTAATTTTTCACCAAGATCTTGCATTGATGATGGTAGAGTCTGACCGCTGCGCAAAGCCTTCTCCAGCACATCCCAGAGATAGATTCTCAATGGGGTTAAGGTCTGGACTCTGTGGTGGCCAATCCATGTGTGAAAATGATGTCCCATGCTCCCTGAACCAGTCTTTCACAATTTGAGCCCGATGAATCCTGGCATTGTCATCTTGGAATATGCCCGTGCCATCAGGGAAGAAAAAATCCATTGATGGAATAACCTGGTCATTCAGTATATTCAGGTAGTCAGCTGACCTCTTTCTTTGAGCACATACTGTTGCTGAACCTAGACCTGACCAACTGCAGCAACCCCAGATCATAACACTGCCCCCACAGGCTTGTACAGTAGGCACTAGGCATGATGGGTGCATCACTTCATCTGCCTCTCTTCTTACCCTGATGCGCCCATTACTCTGGAACAGGGTAAATCTGGACTCATCAGACCACATGACCTTCTTCCATTGCTCCAGAGTCCAATCTTTATGCTCCCTAGCAAATTGAAGCCTTTTTTTCCGGTTAGCCTCACTGATTAGTGGTTTTCTTAAGGCTACACAGCTGTTCAGTCCCAATCCCTTGAGTTCCCTTCGCATTGTGCGTGTGGAAATGCTCTTACTTTCACTATTAAACATAGCCCTGAGTTCTACTGCTGTTTTTCTTCGATTTGATCTCACCAAACGTTTAAGTGATCGTCGATCACGATCATTGAGGATTTTTTTCCGGCCACATTTCTTCCTCGAAGACGATGGGTCCCCACTATCCTTCCAGTTTTTAATAATGCGTTGGACAGTTCTTAACCTAATTTTAGTAGTTTCTGCAATCTCCTTAGATGTTTTCTCTGCTTGATGCATGCCAATGATTTGACCCTTCTCAAACAGACTAACATCTTTTCCACGACCACGGGATGTGTCTTTCGACATGGTTGTTTAGGAAATGAGAAGCAGCTCATTGCACCAGTTGGGGTTAAATAACTTGTTGCCAGCTGAAAGATAATCGCCCATGCAGTAATTATCCAATAGGAGGCTCGTACCTATTTGCTTAGTTAAATCCAGGTGGCGACTTTTTTTTTGGCCAGGCAGTGTATTTGTGTAGCCAAAGTGGTTGCAGTAGATTAGAGTTACTGTACAGGACCAAGAGAATGATTCACATGGATGATTTACTGCTTTCTCTCTTTCCCTTCCTCCTTCCTTGCCTTTCATATCAGAATCTAGCATCATTCAAAATAGTCAGAGGGTCATATTTGAATCAGTGAAGAGAGTGCATTTGATATACACTTTATCTCTGTTTAGACCTGCTCAAGCTTTGTCTATACTGTGAAGAGAGCCTGTCTTCTTCTGTCCATAATATGTGGAGGAAAAGTGTTTGACTCTAAAGGAATATTTTGTTAACTGAATATGAAGCAAAGGATAAAGATAAGTACCTACCAGCACCTCAAAAGCTCACCATTTAACATGTTAGATCTTGTTTGTTTAATCTGGATTTTATTTTAACCCCAGGTCACCAACCCAGTCTTATGCTAAAATAGACTAGACTCTAGATTACTATACAGACATGAGAATGGTATCCATGTAATCATCAACTCTTGGAACAAATGGACAATAAGTGTATTGAACAATTCTTCTTTACGCCTCCACACCGATGACAGCCATGGCCGGAGGCATCGTGATTTTGGTTGTCTGTCCGTTTGTACGTCCTATTGTAGTGAACACGATATCTCAAGACCCCTCGAGAGGATGTCCACTTGGACTCAAGGAGGAACTGATTTGATTTTGGTGGTCAAGAGCCAAGGTCACTGTGACCTTGCATCGTTTCATTCTCATGAATTCAATACCTCAAGAACACTTTCAGGGAATTTCTTCAGATTTGGCCCAAACATCCACTTGGATTAAATAATGACCTTGTTAGAATTTGGGGGTCAGAGGTCACTGTGACCTCACAAAACATGTATTTGGCCATAACTCAAAAATTGGACAAAATGATGAAGTGATTAAATTTTATATTCAAAGGGTTAAAGAGGACCTGTTATGCTTTTTGGGGTTTTCTCTCTTCTTTAGTGTGTTATATAGCATTTTTTTGCATCCATAAGGTCTGCTAATTAAAAAACAAAAAAACAAAGTCCAGGCTAAACAGAGCTTTCTCTCCCCACAGACACACAGTTTTTTGTCATTTTCATTTTTTACATTTGCTAAAAATAAAGTTTCTTTGACGAAGAACGTATTTGTCTTTTCTGTATTAGTGGGTTTTTTGGTATAATGAAACCTTAATGTTCAGAATTGAGTTTACACAGTTGTATCTTATTACATGTCATAAAAACTCACTCTTCTTCAGTTCTATGCCTCAAGGGTTCATAGTTATACCTGTTAAGTTGTGGATGTTTTGCAGGGTGTATGGATTCAAACAGTGAGGCTGTAGGCCTGGATGGTGTATCAAACATTTAGGATGAACTGGAACCTGGTTCATTTCCCCAAAACCTAATAAGTAAAAAGGAGACATGGCATACTGTTTTATAAGTAAGCAAATTAAGACTCAGGAGACAGCATCATTGCATAGAGCAATACTGATCCAGGAAGCAATATGTGTTTTACAATGAAACTTTGATTTCATATAAATGATGTGGAGAAACTGTGGTACATTGGTACATTGTACATATTATAGATGACAAACAGGTGAAGATGATTATGAAATGCAGCTGCATTTTAGTAGAATGTTTTCGGTAAACATGACAGCTAAGGCATCTGAATGTACAAGTAATTTTTATTTATTTATTTGTGTATAATACAGAAATCTGTCATCTTTATCTGCTGTGGTAAAATTTATTAATTCACAGGTTAAACTTGTGTGGTTTTAATGGGGATGTGTTAGTAGTTGGTATTATTACCCAACACAAGCTACATAAGTCTGATCATAGATGAGCCTGCTTTTATTTTGAAAAAAGGAGTTATGCTTTACACCACTGCATAAACAGGTGAGTGCTACTGTTGGTGTTTTCACGTTATGTAGTTAATTGACTATATTGTAAGAAACCTTTTGTGCTCTGACGCTGTGTACTGTGACATCATTGTGTTTTACAGAAACACTTTTCTGCCCATTATTCAACATCATATCTCAGGAACAGAAGGGGAGACATTTGGTCAGATACTGAGTTGGTGACACTTACCTTAAAATTGTGCTGATTGTGTAGATCTTCTGAGATGCCACGGGGAAGATGTGTGTGAAGCATCCATGTTTTAATCGAAACTTGACTGGTTTGCAGAGTCATACAATGGCAAGATAATAATTCTAGTTTGAACTTGGCTCTGTATGTATTCATGCTGTTTCATGTTGAAATGAGGTTATAATAAGTTGTGGACCTTTGGTGGTTAACTTCGGCTGGGCTGCTCTAGTGTATGCAGTGAAATTCTTTGGAAATCTTTGAGGATGAAGTCTTATGATGATTGATAGTCATGACTCAGTGAGCACTGATCCAAATTCAAACTTTAGAATAAAAAACTCTAGACAGTGGTCTGGCCACACAAGTCAAGTTTCTTTATCAACACAGAGACTCATTGTGCTTCTTGAACATTTTTTGACAAAGACATTGGCTGTTCAGCTCACATTCTCCTCCAGCACGTGGCTTCATTGTCATTCCAGTTCTCCTAATCCCTGCCACTAAAAAAATCCCCTACCCAGTGGTACATCTCCACCATGATGTTGGCTGATTGGGACTTACAGCACTTGGTGTCACTTTACCAGAGTTGGTGTACTTTTACAGTATTCCAATCTTCATACTGATTGGGTTGTGTTACTGTGCTCTTGCAGATGGAGATAGAAAAACTGAAGCGAACTGTCCACTCCACGTGAAGCCCACGTTCTAATGAACAGCAAGCCTGAAGGTCTGGCCTGCCAACCAACCAGAGAGCAGGAAGGTGGTGATGGATGAATAGTTGAATGGATGGGGAGAGGGTGGGGAATCAGATGAAACACCTTGAGCACAATCTTTCTTCAGTGATCTATGAATATAAACTCTCCCCATATTTGTAAGATTTACATTTTGCACATATAAAACATTTTCAAGCTAGATGTAATTAAGTTACAGATGTATATGTTTCTCTTTTTTCTTTTCACTGTTTTATATTTTGCCAATACAAAAAAAAAAACCAAAAAAAAAAAAAAACCGAGGCCTTACTTCAGACTACTGCGCTGGACTTACAACTCTGCCATTCCTGCTCTCTCCCCGTCACTCCAGCGTTCTTCGAGCCCTTTAGGGAGGAAGTTTGCTCTCAGTACTACTGACTTGTATAAAGCAGGGGACGCTTGTTTTCATATTTTTTTATGGTGCACAAATAGTCGATTTTAAAAATGAGAAAATGATAAATTTCAGTTCACATCTTTTGATCCTCATGGCGTATGATTTTTCTTTCCTACACTACGCCTGTCAGCAGTACTCCACTTCAAGGCTGCGGCACTTGAGAGAGAGCTGTGCTTTCATTTGTCTTTTATATGGTTTCTAGCATTCCTATCCAGGGTAACACTACTGTGCCTGTTAAATTCAAAATTATATTAAATGTTTGTAATGGGAGCTTACATATACCACGATGGTGTCTGGAAATATTGCAGCATGATATTGTATATCTATATTTTTTAAGTCTACTGACATGCCTAGTCAAATATTATGTAGAGGACCTCTTCTATGCTGGTCTCTTCTATTTTTGTCAAACTGTTTGACCCGCTGGGAGTGTTCTCAGAGGTTTAGCCATAGTCAGAGTCTGCAGGTAATGCACACACAATCCACATACAAAAAAACTACAGAGAAGAGAGGAAGGAGAGGCTGCCCTCTTCACTTATCAAGGTTGCTGACCAATACATCACATCATCATCTCTGCAACCTGCATTTAATGTGGCCATCATCCCTCTAATCCCTGCTGCGGCCCATTCTGCCTCTTCCTCTCCTTTCTCCCATCCCTCTCTGATTCACAGTGAATCATGATCTAAGAGAGGCCTCGTCTTTCTGCTCTGTAATGTGTTATGCATGAGTATGCACAGCACTCATCAGTCGTCCTGTCCTTATTGTACATTTGTCTTCTAGTCTGTGTTTCTTCCCACATTAAGGACACAAGTGAAGCTAACTGGAAGCAAAGAGCAGCAATTTTATTGAAATAAACTCACATTCTCCGTATCCTAACTCTGTTTGAGAAACAAAGAGTTAAAGCCCTAATGTGAATTATTTTTATGTGATTGTATAACCCTTCAAATTATTCACTTGGTGGATGGTTTTTTGTATGCAAGTTAGTGCAATCTGTGTCTGCCAGTGGCTTTTCAGCCATGCTAGTGTCAGAGTTCAAGAAAGCAATTGCTATCTGTCTGTCAGCTGATTGGTCAGTTTTTAGTCCTGTCTGAAATATATGAAATATAGTCCAATACCACACTACCAAAAACCTGCAAAAGTAATGACATTCCCGTTGGCCTCAGCTGCACTTATTGGTAAAAACGCAAATGTTAGCATCCTTACAGTACACACTTAACTAAGTTAATCCTTATATCTGTTAACATCTCTGTGTTAACATTATTGCCCGACCAACACTTAATTTTTCAGGCTGATAGTAAATATGTGAAATTAAAAATAAAACTAACAACACGTTGGCCTCTCTGAAATAGATTTATACAAACACATAACAGTTTTCATAACAATTACATTTTTCCAATTATGACAAAGACGTGCTGAGTCAAGTATTCATATTGAGTCTGACTTTTTATAGCTAAAAAATCCACTCAAACTTAAGTTCTCTTTGCAAACAAACAAACAAAAAAAAAGGTCATGTTGTTTCAAAACATCTCTTGGAGCATTGTAGCGTTGAGCTCAAATGCTAGCATGGCTGACTTATAATCTTGTTTGATAACAGGCTAAAATCTACAAATCCTACACATTCCAGCTTTAAGATGAAGCTCAGAACGGAAAAGGAAATGAGTCGACACTGTACACTGCTGATTTTTTCTGAAAGCATTTTCAGTGGTACAGAACTATTGTTGCCCCTCTGGCTCCTAATCGCTATTAAGAAGTGGATACTTTCCACTGCAGGTAAGTTCAGTTAATGCATAGCACGATGTCAGCTGCTCTCAGTCGACTCTAACTTGTAGCCTTGGGCTCTGAGTGTGGTTCTGAGCTGATAAACAGCTTATCTTGGTGTTGGGATACTTTTAAGAAAGTAACAAGTGTAACCCCCTCTGGTCTCTGTATGGCTTAGAGGAAGGTTTCAGCTCTGAGTGCTGATCACAATATTTACAGCAGGTTTCATTTCCAACTCAAATGTTATCTAACTGTTTTACATCTACCACTATGTACCACAAGTACAGATTACTGTTATTCCTTGTTTTCTTTTTCTTTCTTTTTTTTTTTAAATCTCTTTCTACATGTCTCACACATGTCTTAAAGAAGTGTTACATTGCTTTGAAACATCATCAGGCTTCCATGTGTTCTGTGTGTGCTTGCTTTTGCTGGCACCTGCTAACCGAGTACATGATGTTAAATTCTGAACTCCAGAGTGCTTTGACCTACTTGATACTGTTTATCTGACCTTAATGAGCATGGCACTCATGCAATATGTTAATGCCTAACATAAAACACACTTCCTTTTAGCATGCAGTTCTTAAACCATATGGCTGGGCTATGAAATGATCACATTGTGGGAAAGAGGGACCAGGGGGTTTGGGTGACAGCTCTTCATGTAATATCCGTAATATAGCTTAACTTTCACAAATTGTACATTCCAGAGTTTGACATCAAGAGAGGAAGAATCTGTGTGCATATAACATTTTTTTCAAGTGATTTTGTTTACAAGAGCTGTATTCTTGCATGAGCTGAGATTCTTTTCAAAAATGAATAAATATAATCTTTATTTACTGTCACAGACTTTCTTCTTGTCTTTGTGTTTGAGTTGTGCACCACTTATTTTCACAGTGAACCTGAAGACTTTGGCGTCCTTGAAGTCTTAAAATTGGAGCAAATTTTGGAAATATTGAGTGAAAAAAAGATTGACTTTTCAGAGGAGAGCAAGTTTCTGGGGAAATACAGCTTCCAGTAAAATCAGCTCTGGGTGATGGTGTGTTCAGTCTCTTACAGTATCTATGGAGCTACATTTGTTTCTTTATTATTCAGTCAAACAGAGTAGGTTTTGCAATCAAAAAATGTTTTATTGCAAGTTAAAAATGATTAATTAAAAAATGCAAATCCAAAAGTTTTGTTTGCAATTCCTAAAGTTTTGTTTGCAAATCCTAAAGTTTGTTTGCGAGTCTTTTTTTTTTTTTTTTTTTCATTTGCAAGTCAAAAAGTTTTGCGAGTAAAAAGTTGAACCTGGTGGGCAGGGCCTAAACTGAAAACTGTAAGACACGTCTCTATTGGCCAGTCTCAATCGGAATGACAGCTTGAAAAGCATTTTTTTTTCTTCTTCTCTCGATTGGCGGATTGCAAACAATTTAAAGGTGCATACCGCCACCTACTGTACAAGAGTGTGCAACATCATGTCATTTAGCCTGTTTCTTAAATTCTACTCATCAGCCTAGTACGCTTGCAAAGCAACATGTGAGTTCTGTAGTTCACGGGGAATTCAGTGCAGGAGCTGTGGCAAAAATCAATTCTGAAACCAAAGTTTTTTGGGCTCCGGTTTCCAAAAAAATTTCGTCCATGACTGGGCATGCACAGGGAGTAGTCGACTCCAAGAGAACTCCTGGTGGAAATATACATTTGTATTTAAATCCGATCGTCCAAGTTTAAATTTGGGTGAAGAAATTAGAGTGCTCAACTTGATTTTTTATTTCAATCACTTTTTCTGCAACTGGCATCAGACTGTGCGCTTCAGAAACGGTAAAACGCCAGACATGCGTGGCCAGGTGAAGAATGCAAAACCTGACACAGCTGCTGCTCATCAGGACCCTGATGCCACGGGAGAATGGGAAAAGTTTTCTGAAAAGATTGTGGAGTCAATAAATAAGAAATTCGATCTCCTCGATGGTAAAATTGAAACCCTTATGAACAATCAACAAACCCTGATTGAAAGACTGGATGCTGCTGATGAACAATTCTCTGATCACAAGCGGCGTATTGACGCTCTGGAAATGCGCCTCGCAGACATGCAAAAGGCCAACGAAAAACTTCTAACCAAGATTGATTACTTGGAGGGATGCTCGAGGTGCAATAACATCAAAATAGTGGGCATCCCAGAAGGTAAAGAGAGCAACAGACCAACAGAATTCATCACAGGCTTGCTGCCAAAGCTACTCGGGACGAACAACTTTGGGAAACTGGATACCTGTGCCCAAACCAGAGGATGGTAAGAGACCACGGAGCATCAACGCCAGGATCCATTTCTATCAAGAGAAAGAATTAATTTTACGACTGCGCTGACAACAAAAGATGATGGAGGCCTACAACGATCAGCTGATCTACATCTGTCCTGATTACACTGCGGAGGTGATGGCACAAAGACGGGATTTCCACAAGGTGACCAGCTCACTCAGAGCCAAAGAGATGAAATACAGCCTGCGGGTTCCAGCTAAGCTGCATGTTCACTACAAGGGTCAGGTAAAAGTCTTTACCTTCTCACAGGATGCCAAGTCCTTTATAGAACAAGAGCTCAAACCGTAGCCCTGACTGGGATAAGGCCTTTTCATCCGGGGGTAAAAATGGAGACCCTTGACTGATTGTTTATGTAGGCTACTTAATTAAATCTCCGCTGAAGGACGGCGGGCATCATTTGTCATTACGTTTAGTCTTTCCACCATGGAGTGTCTGAATGGTATTTGGAGAGAGACTCGGCTGCGGGCAATTCGTCTCGCTTTTCCCAGTGACTGGGGGGTATTTTTTGTTTTTTCTATGGGGTGGGGTGGGGTGGGTGGTCACGGTGTGTGTGTTAGAGTGTGAGGAGAGTCTCTTAGCTTGGTATCTCAGTCTTGCCTTGGTTCAAGATCATCTTTATATGAATTTACCTCATGTGTTTTTGAACATCAGACTTCTGATAAGATGATTACTCCAGAATATGTCTAAAGTCATAAAAGATAAAATTACAATAACTTCATGGAATGTGAGAGGCCTTGGAATTAATATGAAATGTAGAAAGGTGTTTTCTCACTTGAATTCACTGAAATCAGATATTTTATTTCTTCAAGAAACTCATACAATAAAAGATACTGAACATAAATTAAAGCCCAGATGGGAAGTATACCATGCACCTTTTATGTCTAGAGCAAGAGGAGTAGCTATTTTGTTTCGGGATAACACTCCCGTCTTACTTAAGTCCAAGGTTATAGATCCAATTTTCACAATTTCTGGTCAGATTAGTACATTTCCGATTACTTTGCTGAATATATATGGTACTAATTCAGATGATTCCGCCTTTTTCCGCATGGTTTTTGAACTTCTCCCTGAAGATGGAATTTCTAATTTTTTTATTGGAGGAGACTTTAATTGCTATCTGGATGCCTCATTAGACAGATCATCTCCTACATCTCCACCAACAATTAATACAGTCCCACTATTAAATAATTTGATCAAATCCAGAAACATGGTGGATATTTGGAGAACACGAAATCCTGACAAAAAGGAGTACTCATTCTATTCACATGTCCATCAGTCATTCACAAGAATTGACTATTTCATAGTGGAAGCTGGTTCAGTATCCAATATTAGTAATATACAGTACCATACTAGACTCATCTCCGACCATAGTCCCATTAAAATGCAGCTGCAGATACCTGCATCTAAACCTAAATTTAACTGGAGATTTAATCCTCTTCTCCTGTCAACACCAGGCTTTAAGGAATACATGACCAAAAAACTGAGTGACCTTTTAGAAATTAATGATAATCTCAGATTCTACTCTTTGGGAAGCACTTAAAGTTACAATGAGAGGATTTATTATTGCTATTATTGTCATCCAAGAAAAAAGAAAAATTGAATAGAATACCAGAAATTGAACAGGAAATTACCCAATTAGAAGAAGCATATGAAACATCGCTATCTCAATATGACTACAATAAGATTCTAAAATTAAAAAGGGAATACAGTTCATTTCTGGAAAGTGAAATTGGGAGTATACTTTTAAAAACAAAACAAAAACATTTCGAATTAAGTGATAAACTTCAAAAGTTACTGTCTAGACAACTTAAAGTAGAGATGGCTAAAACTGTTATTCATAAAATACAGTTAAATACTGGTCAAATACTCACAGATCTACAAGAGATTAATAACCAGTTTAAAGAATTCTATCTAATCTTTATATGTCAACTTCCACTGTAACAGAGGAAGATTATTTGCAATTCTTTAACCCTTTAATTCAACGTCAGTTAAGTCTGACCAGCCAGCAGTCTTTAGAAAGACCATTCTCTGTGGCTGAGATAGTCGAAACAATCAAGTCATTTCCTGCAGGTAAATGCCCTAGACCAGATGGGTTTGGGGCTGAGTTTTATCAAGCATTCCATCATATTTTAGCACCTTTACTACTTAGGATGATCAATGATTCCATAACAAATAAAACATTTCCACCCTCTCTTTGTGAGGCAAATATTTGTGCCATATTGAAAGAGGAAAAGGATCCCACCGACCTGGCTAACTACAGGCCCATCTCCCTGCTCAATCTTGACCATAAAATCTTTACAAAGGTATTAGCCACTAGACTTAATAAACACACAGAAACAATTATCCATTCAGACCAACTTGGTTTTATGCCTGGTAGGCATTCTTTTTTTAATGTGCAACATTTGTTGAATATTTTGTATTCTGATAAGAGTGATAATATTAAAAGAGCTGTCCTGACATTGGATTCTCAGAAAGCTTTTGATTCCATTGAATGGCCATATTTATTTGAAACTATGAGAAGGTTTGGTTTTGGGGAAACTTTCGTGGATTGGATTAAAATGGTTTATCACTTTCCTAAATCCTCTGTAATAACAAATAATATGAAATCGGAGCTATTCAGTCTACATCGAGGAGTGAGACAAGGTGACTGCCTGTCTCCCTTGTTATTTAATATATCACTAGAACCTTTGGCAATTAGGATAAGAAGTCACCCCAAAGCTATCCCAGTTGGTACATCAGAATCTCTTGTTGGTTTATGCGGCGATGACTTACTTGTCACTTTATTGAATCCCAAAGAGGGTATCTCTCATCTTTTTCAATATATCAGTTCTTTCAATAAAATTTCTGGTTATACAATAAATTGGGCCAAAAGTGAGCTTATGTTTATTGGTAAAAATATAGCCTTACCGAATTGCCCAATAAAAATTGTACAGGATCATATTGCATATCTTGGACTCAAAATATCAAAAAGCCCTAAATCATTGTTAGAATCATTGTTGACATGTTGCATGGTATTAGTTTGTGACATGAAAGTGAAGAGAACCAAACACCTAATCTTGGGTCCCTTACTGTAACATTAGAGGGACATAGGTCAGGTAATGTTTGACATTGTTTACAGAGAAAGTACAGTGTACTTTCTCTGTCACAAACTAATACCATGCAACATGTCATCAGACAATTTTAGCATACAATAAGAAAACATAGTTGAACATGATTAAATTGAATGTTTCATCCCGAATATATATATGTTTACAGAGAAAGTGCAGTATACTTTCTCTGCAAGTAGTTTATTTCTTACAATATTCCCGTATCATCCCTCAGTTGTCTTCAAGTTGCTTGAATGTTTGTTTGTTTTTACCTGTCAATCTAACTACATCGCTCTGGCATAGTCTTATTGATCAAACAAGAGGTTCGTTCGAGATGAGCCAGTCCTGCGCAGATTCGATCACCGGCGATCGGTGCACAATGCATGCCGGTTAGTTTTGTGTCCGACTTCATCCCG